CGCCGCCTTGTAAGGTCCTCAAACCCCCCTTTCCCCCCTTTCCCCCCTTTCCCCCCTTTCCCCCCTTTCCCCCCTTTCCCCCCTTTCCCCCCTTTCCCCCCTTCCTTTAACCCTACCCCCGCCGTGTGTGTTTTCCCCTCCCCAGCCGAGCGCACCTCCACATGGCTCAACTCCCCCTGCCCCTCCCTGGACGCGGAGGCAATTAATACGGCAGTGGACGAGTACAACCGTACTGCATACAAACTTGCCAGAGCGGCGCGGGACGATCGGGTGGTTGCCAAGGTGCGTGTGTATGTGTGTGTATTCCCCTCCCCCCCCCCGAACACTCGTTTGTGGCTCACTCGTTTGTGGTTCGTCTTTCCCCCCAAACACACGCACACATACATACATACATACACGCTACTTCATATGTGGACTTCTATTTTTTCGGTAAAGCTCTGCATGTGACTTCCTCCGCCTTCAACCTGTATGATGTACTACTTCTACCTCGCGGCTTGGTGATATTAACAAACAAACATACATACATACACACATACGGATACTGTTTTCCTTCCTTCCCCTGACCGCCCTTCTCCCCCCCCCACACACAAATTTCCCGCCACCCGCAGCTCAAGGACGGTATCGAATCCTTCCGGCGCTACTCCCAGCTATTCACAGACGCATGCAACTCGGCCCTGCAGCCCCACCACTGGTCGCAGATCCTGGGGTTGCTGGGGCAGGAAGAAAGGGTGAGGAGGGGGACAGGGGGGACCGGGGGGGGGACCTTGTGTGTGTATGTGTGAGTATGTATGTACGTTTGCCTCTTTAACATGAAACACGGCTGCGGGGCTAACCCTAAGATGCAAACTAAGCCCTCGGATCCTTTTGGGGGGTTGGGGGGGAAATGGCCCCCAAGGAAAAGTGGGGAGTGGGGAGATTGTTTTAGTTCTGGTTCAGGAATGGGCCATGCCCCTGCCATGATGGCACCATCCGGACAACATCGGGAAGGACATACACATACGGGAACATACACACTATTACAACTGTTTCCCCATGAATACGCGGTGTCGTACAACCGTTTTTGTCGCTTGTTGTCGTACAGGATCCGGAGAAGCCTGTCACGATTTCGGAGCTCATCGATTGGGGCGCACTGGACAAGGCCGAGGTGCGCACTTCTTTTTTTATCTTTTGTGATGGGCGGTGTGACCATATGTATGTATGTATGTGTGCGTATGTGTGTGTTAACGTAACAGTGAGTCGTGAGCTGTGAGGTGTGTGCATGTGTGTGTTTTTATGTATTGATGGAAGCTGTGTCGTTACGCTGTAAGGGGGGGCCCCCCCGTTACGGTCGGGGAGCCACGCCTGGCGATACCGTGTGGTGGCGATACCGTTGTGTTTCGTTTCCTCATCGTCCGCCTTTCCCCCCGTCCTTCCCCCCCGGTCCTTCCCCCCCGTTCACAAACGTAAATACAAACATACACACACACACGTGTCGCCACTCAGCCTATTTCTGTCATCAGCGCCTCCGCCTCCAAGGAACAGTCGCTGCTTCAGGCGCTCAGAAAGATGCAGGAGGCCTGGGTGGGAGTCGAGTTCAAAATGGTGCCGTACAAGGATACGGGCACGTGTGTGGTGGGTCACACAGATGAGATCCAGATGCAGCTGGACGAGCAGCTCATGAAGATTCAGGTACGACCTGTTTGAATTGATATAGTATCTGCTGTGATTGATGTAGTACTTCATGGTACGGCACAGCACGGCAAAGTACGGTAGTCGTCCCATACTGTCGTACATTTTCCTTAATTGTTATGCGGAGCAAAACCACCCTTGTCGCTGTCCCACTGGTCGCGTACGACAGACCTTGTATACCTGCACCCCCTATTCATCCCTGGCCCCCGCTGCCGTGTACTCCTCAATACCGTCATACACACACACACACGCACCTCTACTCGCGAACCCCCCTGATCTCCCCTTCTTACCTCCCCTCCCCCCTGCCCTCCCCTCCTTTCCTAAACAGGCCATGAATGCCTCACCCTTCGTGAAGCCATTTCGTGCGGAGGCAGCCTCGTGGCAGGAGACGCTGGAGGGGCTGGAGGTAAGGGGGGAGGGGGAAGAGGAGGGGAGTGTGCGTGTGTGTGTATGTGTGTGTTTTGTGTCTGGGGAGAGAAATGGAATGCGGATAAATCTGACGACTGCTTATTTATCGCCTTTATGACCTCCTCAGCCCCTTCTTCCACTTGCAATGATTATGGTACGGCAGCACGCATACGCACACCCCCGCATCCTGCTGTATTGCCGTACTGCCGTATATAGGAGCTTTTGGAGCAATGGCTGACGTGTCAATCCACGTGGATGTACCTGGAGCCCATTTTCAGCTCCCCCGACATCGTCAAACAGATGCCAGAGGAAGGACAAAAGTTTTCGCAAGTAAGACCGTATGTCTGTATGTCTGTATGCCTGTATGCGTGTCGTGTATTTAGGAAGTTTGGTGCGTATGTGCGTGTGTATATGTGTGCGGGAAGAGGTCGACATCCTCCTCCTCCTCATCATCCCTCCATCACCCTCTTTTCCTTCAAATGCTCACCCTCCTCCTTAAACCCCCTCTCCCCCATGCTGGCCCCCCGTCCTCCTTGCCCCCCTTCCCCAGGTGGATATGACATTCCGGTTGCTGGTGGACGAGGTGGTGGCCTCCCCCGCCGCCATCAAACTGGCCAGAGACGCGGACCGCAGGGACT